GAAACACCTGAAGTGGGAAAAAGAGGCAACAAAGTGATTCTGACTTTTGAATTTTCAATGTTTGTGCCCAGATGTTGTACAGCCAGGTTCGATCGCAAAATACAACCTCCCATCGATCCCGGGTACAATAAAAAAGATGACCACGTCACTGACTGGCTATAAACTATTAAGCTCATTGAATGTTTAAGAGTGCTTCTCCATGCATGAAGCCTTTTTCATTAATGCTTTTCTTAACAGTGCTTTTGCTATTAGCAATTTTGTTCAGAATATTCCATTGAAAAATCAGGTGGTTCCAATATCTGTATACGTAAATATGAGGTAAATTTGAGCCAAGAGATATTTCTATTAGGTCATGGTTTGTGGAAGTTGATTGAAGGCAAGTATTCATGTTTCTTGAAGTGCAAGAAACCTTAATATTGTCGCATGTAAACCATAACTTTGGTCTCCTCTTTCATACACGACTCAAACACGTCTACAAAATTTCCAGCAATTACACTTCTATGAATGCAGCAATCTTTAGGGTTTTGAAGGATGGGGAAGGCGAGATTTGAGGGATTAATAGGACAATTACTAATTTGTCATTTGCTATAAATCTGTGCTTGTAATTCCCTACAATTGCATCATGTGCAAGATTTTACAGCAAGATGGGCTGTCACCAATTGGATCCTCCAGCTCTCTAGCTTGCAATTTCTATGTGATTAAGATTGGATGAAAATGACAAGCTGGATACATCATGGGTCCCACATCACATGGCTATACCAATACCCTTGTGAAAGTGAAAGGAAGAGAGGGCCCCACAAAATGTGGGATACCTCTACTTTAGGTGGTAGCACAGCTAAGCCCCATTAGTTTAAGTCTTATATTCTATTAGAGGAGGAAAATGAGAGCAAAGCTGAACTGGAATCTCTTCTGTTTCCCACAGCCTACGCATATTCGAATTTTCATAATTGTAAGAATACAGAGTACAAAGCTCTCTGCTAAACCCTAATTGGGTGTTCATAGCTCAACAAACTGTGGGTGGTAAACAAGGAAGAATCAAAACATCCTTCGAATATAATGACATGAACATCTGTTTGTACATGACAACTCTATGGAGTCAAATTTCAATAATTTAATGTCAGAATAATCCACAACTAGAAAAATCTAAATATTGAAATAATTTAGAATATCGCCTCTTTACACCTAAAGCAATGTGTCCGACCCTTCGCGTTCAAGTTTGATTCTTTACTCTGCGCATTAAAGTAGTTCAAAATATCACCCTTATCAAAACAAGAAAATCTAATGTTAAAACTTGACATATTATATATATATATAATGTTTTTAATCACAATTAGAAAAAGAACAGGATAGTTTTACACACACGAACCACGGTGTCATGAATGTTCGAACCGCAAACCACTACTAACCTGCATGCCAACATCTCTACCACTGAGGTAAGACCCTATTGACAAATATGTAAATGCATTGATTTCTTAGCTAACTTTACTAACTTTGTGAAGTACTTAGCTATTAAATATCTCAATTTGGATAATGAAAATATCAGTTTTGTTCGATTTTGCAGCAGCAGATAGATGGGTACTACTGGCCCCAATCGCCGTTCACGTGTAGATAATAAGTCCAGATGGATAGCTCGTACGCACAATCCCAAAAGATAGAGCAGCAGAATATGAGCGACAGAGAGAGAGAGAGGCGCGAAACGCCATGTGCACGTCTGGCACTCAAAATCAGAAGGAAGCGAGTTTTGCGCTATTTGCCAAAGCCGTACGCCCCAAAAGAGATGAAAGAAAGATGGAAAAGTCATTGCTGGAATCCAAATTTATAAAAGTTACAAAAAGAAAAAGACTCTCTGCTTTTTACAGGGAAGAAAACTGATTGAAGCCTTCGACGTGGCACCCTCTTCCTACTTTCTAGTGATGTGCTTCCTGGACTTTTCTTCAGGAAAAAAATATATATATATTATTACAATCTACTCTCTCATCAAGCCTACACAAATACTGAATATGTATTCATCCATAAGTTTGATAATCTAAATATTTTTGTATAGCCGTTAACTACTCAGGCTCACTCCACAATGTATATCACGGTTAGAATCGTGTATTTTACAGATTCTTATTCAAAGATCAATCATGCAAAAATGTACTCAAATGAAAAATCGTTCAGTTATTTAATTTTAAATAAATAAATAGACAAATGCAATAATTTCGGTAAATAATGAAATAATTATGATAATAATGAAATAAATCACTAAATGATTTACGATTTAGGTGACTCTTTATACGATCTTGTTAGCTGTAATTCACCCAATTTGTTACATTATACTTCATTACCTTTATTTGTCTTTTGGAGAGCATTTATGCTCATCACTTTAACTCAATGTGTATTCTTATCACCTTTTTAATACTTGACACGTATCTATATACATAATAGTGGTTCCATAAATACAACGTAAAAATTTAACCATGATTATGCCTATAAACACATGTCAAGTATGAAAAAAAAAGTTCATAAGAATATGTGTTGGGTTAAAATAATGAGCAAAAATACTTCCTTCTCTTTTGTCCTATTTAGTGGTTGTGTGTTAAATTTTAATTTGAGACATAAAAGTTGCGGATGTTAGGGTGCAAAACACAAAAGCTGCGGCTGGCAAAAGAAGGAAGGACACGTATATTTTTGGGATCCAATCATGTGGCGCATCTTTTTAGGGGCCCTATTTAATCATCTTTTTCTTTTCCTTTTTGGCATTTTTGATTTGATTTTGGGTTAAAGGAATGCTAAAGCTGCCGATTATGTGTATGTGGTACGATCCATTTCATTTCAACTTTCTTGAAGTTTTAAATCAAAGTTTTTGTTTATGGGATTTCAGTGCTCTTTTGGATTTCTTGTGGGGTTCGAGTTCTCCTCCCATACACAGAAAGCTCTTTTTAGTTTTTGTTACCTTGATTTTGGCATGAAAAAATAAATAAAATTCTCTATTGTTATGATAAAACTATGGTGGTGTTTTTTTTTTTTTTTTTTTTTTTTTTTTTTTTTTTTCCTCAAGAATGTTTAAGTTCCTTCAAGAGTTAGCTTCAAGATCAACAAACAAAAAAAAAAAAAAATCTAAGAGAGAAAACCCTACTCTCCACCCTTTTTTGAGTGGTGACTATCATGCTTTTTGTTACATCATTCTCTCTTTTTTCTTTCATCTCCACCTCCTCCCTTTTCCATCCTCTTTGCTTCCCCCTCCCGCATCGTGTCCCTCTATGTTTCTTTAGCTCGTTTATGGCATAATTAGTGACTTTTTTTTGGCTTAATAATGAATGAAATCCTATAATTTCTCAATTAAAAAAAAAATTCCTTAAAGACTGAATTCAAGAGTTCTTGGAGCATCATTTTTATAGGGTTTTAGGCTGAGATATGCTTAATCTTCATGATTTGCTTTATCTCTTCTTCTAATTTATCATCCTCTTTGTTCATTAGTATGCGGTCACTCGTCACAATGATGCCTAATTGTAATGACGATGAAAATATTCAAACATAAGATGAAAGTCAAACTCTTGTCATAAGTGTTGGAATAAGTGCACGTTTGATTCTTGGACAAACTATGCATGTATAAAAATTAGCATTGTTCGCCTATATACCCGTTTAATAATTTAAAAATAAATTATTAACAAATATAGTTTTATATGTTTTTTTAATATAAGTTTTTGTTTATATTTGTCTTTCAAATTTGAGAGTTTTATTTCATTATTTAACATTTTTATGATTAAGGCAATCCCGTTTACGGTAACGACAAACCACACGAGCACGATAACAACAAACCACACGAGCACGGTAACGACAAACCACGTGAGCACGGTAACGGCAAATCGACCCGGTGCGCCCCTTGGCCATCCCTACTCCTTAAGTGAAGCATAAATGTGTAGAAAGGTTCCACACTCCTCCATCTTTACAAAAGGCATATATATATATATATATATATATGCTTTGGATAAATCAAATTCGGGAAAATAAATCCATGTACCTTTCTAAGGACTTGGTCTTGGAGTTCAACTCAATTACTCAGATGATGTTCCCTCAATTGCCTAGCAAAAAGTAACCCCTTGCATGTTTTCAGCTAACATGCACAAGTTGTTTTTGGTCAAACATTTACAACTTAACCTAAGAAAACTTGAACCAAATAGGTCCCATAATCATGTGCAAATTATAGCAAACCACAATTTTCCAATTAGTACAGATAATCTCTATAAATCAACATTGAAAATTTTGATCGTACATGATTTCAACATTTATTTATATGTAAATCCTAATTTTGTTTTTTAGGATTCCAGCACATAGGAATTTTTAAAACGAGGTCCCTCTCGGATATCAATTCTAGTGTCCCACAATTTTTATTTTGTTGAAAGATGTCATGAGTTCAAAATCTATGAACAGTTATGTTAATTTAGAAGAAGAAAAAAATGTTAAAAGGTTTTCGTAAATAATTTTTATAAACTAACTTATACAAGAATAAATATTCTCTTCTCAAAAGACGTCACTACCATGGGAAAAGAAATAAATTGTCCACCGAACTTTTAAATTTAAAAAAAGCGAAGCATGGATGGAAGGAAAAAAGTGAGGCACAATGATTATTTTCTCCATTACAGGAAATTCTACCCCCTAAAGTTTTTCCAAGATTTCATTTTTACAGCTGAGAATTTAATTACGACACAATCATATTCCCCCGCACGGCTTGGCAAGGGAAAATACCTTGGTCGTCATCTTCCACCCATGAGCATGACCCAACCCAACCCCCCACGTGAACCTCTCTCTCTCCCTCCTCTCTCTGCTGCTTCATTCTGCAGTTGCTCTCCAACTTTCACTTTTGCACAATGGAGATCAAAGTACATTAATTTATACACAACCCCACTTCCCATTCAATAAAATTCAGGGTCTTTCTTGGATCCCTTTTTTGTTTTTTTCCTTTTTTTTTTTTTTTTTTTTTTTTTTTTTTTTTGGATGGAGTGTGGGTGTGTTATGATTTAGTTCCATTGATCTGGGCAGCACCACTGAAGTGTAGGTGCTTGCTCATCTGAGAAGAAGCTGCAAGCCTCCTCACTGCTGAAGAAATTGTGCTCCTCTATCTTCACAAACTGAGGATGATAGGTCTTCTGAAACTGGAAGCAATTCATGGATGATGAGGAAGGTGAGGAGGAGGAGGAGCAGTTGAATTTGAGTGAAGTGGAAGCCGGAGACTTCATGAGCTGGTGGTTTTGGAGCATCCCAGATGAAGAAATGGTCAAGTTCGGACTGTTGTCTTCGTTCAAGATTGCACTTGAGTCACTGTCTGATGACCCGTCTTTGAAATCTGGGAACAATGAGACAGCTTCTAAGCCCACTGCTCCATTGTTGGTGTTGTTGAAGCTCTCAAAGTTGAGCTCTTTGGACTCTGTTGCTGGAACAGAGGAACCAGGAGGTGGTGGTGGTGGGGATTTGCTCTTCTCATGATCAACCACTTTGTAATTGGATTGATCTTTTGCCACCATTTGCTCTTCTTTCACTGACAGATTATTGCTCTCTGTGTTTTCCTCTTGCAACTTTGATTTCAATTGCTTTATCTGCAGTGGAACAAGTTAATCCAAAAATTTAGATCATATCCAACTTAATTAATTAAAGCGTCGTGACATACTATGTTATGTTGTCAAACTATAGATCTAACACGACCCACTCAATTAAGAACATACGTAATAAAACATTTATCAGACTGTTAAACAAGAGAACATTTATTTCAATGAGACTCCGGATCATATATACCTCCTTCACAAGAGCTTCATTGTCATGTTGGAGGTTGTCATAATTGAGCTTGAGAGAGTCATAATTGGCCTTGAGAACGCCAAAGTCACGTTCCAATTGCTTGGTCTTCCAACGAGCACGGCGGTTTTGGAACCACACAGCAACTTGTCTTGGCTGGAGGCCAAGTTCTTGGGCAAGCTTCACTTTTCTTTCTGGTTCAAGCTTGTTCTCCACCTCGAAATTTTTCTCCAAGGCCTTCACTTGTTCAACGCTTAATCTTCTCTTCTTCTCGGAAACATGGCCACCCTCTTCCACGCACCCTTCTTCATCTAAGCCATCCAACATGGACTGCAAATCTCTCCGGTAAACATGGTTGTTTCTTGGACTGTGTTCCTCTGCTAAAACCAATTATGAAAACACGAGAGACAATTTAGTGAATCAATCTTAAGCCTGTCCACATAATTAACAACTATGAGCTAGATCAGAAACAGGACCAAATAACTGAATAAGAAAGGAAAAACAGTGGATGTATAGACTTGAAATTAAAGTACCAAAACAGGAAAGAAAGAACACATGGATTCAATTCAGTATGATGAATTTGAATCATAAAAAAGTGTCATGATCTCATGGCCATGTTTTTCTTTGTGATTGATCATGAAAAAGGTAACAAACAAAAAAAACACAAACATGATATGTCTGAATCTTGGGGAAACACCAATAGAAAAAGGGCAATTATATATAAAATGGATTGTTTATTAAAATTAACCTGTTGATGGGCAGATGGAAATCATAGCACCCAATGAATCTGAGCTTCCAAGCCTCTTCATGATGACTACTACTGAGCTTGGGGGAAAGGCACTTTTGATATCAGATCTTAATAGATCAAGCAAGCTCCTTCCTTTTTATCCTTTTCAAAATCTTGGTTGTTTTTGTTTTTTTATATGTTTCCAGTGAATCTTTTAACAGCTCAAGGCAGTGTTCAGAGCAAGATATGTTTACTTAAAGGAAGCAATGGAAGAAGAAGCGCAAGTGCTCTGTCTGAAACAAGTAGACCAACTTGTATAGTGGTGTATACAACTACTGTGCAACAACCTATTTCCTCTCTCTGCTCCCTCATGTTTCTTCTTTCTCAATACTTCTTCTGATCCCTCAGTACCCATCAAAACTAAGGAAAGCAAAATCCCAACCCACAAAACAAAACCCAACAAGCAAGCAAATTTTTTAAAACAACACAATGAAGTAAATTAACCAAAGACTCTCTCTTTCTCACACCTCTCTCTCTCTCTCTACATCATTACTCAATCAATTCAGCATGGTTGTGAGGACTGTATAGTCTATGACTGTTCATCTAAAATGGGAATTTCAGAGGTGGAGAGAGAGTGAGAAGGAGGGGGGGGGTGAGAGGGTCTTGGATGGAGAAAGGGGAAGGTTAGTGAACCAGTTCACAACCCAGCAGGCCTTACACTCTCTCTCTCTTTAAATAAAACCAACTTGGGTCAGATGTTGGGTTAAATTCTGACTAGGGTTAGGTACATTTACACAGCTGCAGTTGCAAATGAAATGAACGCAAATTCAATCCAAATGCAGTTTTCTTCTTTCACCTGCTATAGCCTGTAGCCTTTCCGGTTTAGGGGAGATATTTTTATTTTATTTATTTTATTTTTTATTTTTTGGTGTTAATAAATAGTGCAGAGGGAGAGATATTACCGTTGCTTGCGGATAGTGGAAAGTCTGTAAGTCTGCTTTGCTATTAAGGTGGTATGGCTCGGCGTCTGGCGGCTCAGCTTTCTTTTAGCTGGAGCCAGATTTGGCTGGCGTCAGCGTATCATGGGCCATCACTACGGCATGGTCGGTGCGATTCATCGGCCACAGAAAATGGTCCACCGCTTTGGTTTTTATTTCTTTTTACCCCCTTTCATCACTGCAGTAGCTGTAATCATAAATAGTATTTGGGCCGAGATGAGTAATTCTTGTAATTTAAGTGAATAAAAAACACGAGATTAAACCGTTCATAAAAATAAAGAATACATGGTAAATGATTTTGTATTAGTTCTGTTTACATTTTAGCATTGTATTCAAAAGAGATATTGCGGGAAGGACTTCGTAATTCAACTAAAAACACTAGTGAGGTTTCCGTTCAATTTCGTTTTAAATATCACTTGTATACAAATAATAACAAAACTTTGAATCTTCTAGTAAAAACACTTTTTTTTTAGTTTATGCTCAAGGACGATAACCTTTTATTGTTTGTTAAGAAATGTTACAATCTTTGCATACATAAGTTAGGCCAGTTGGTCAGGGCAGTGAGTCCGTCCATCTTGCATCGAAGTTTGAATTCCCTTCCCTATAGATTAGATTAATTTAGAGTAATTTAGAGTTCATTTGGAAGTAATTCTTGATAGGCCATAATTACTTTTGGGGAGAAGCACATCAAGCACCTCTCATGTGTTTCTCCATAAAATCACTTAAACTCATTATTTAGATAAGTGAATCTCCATAAAAGTGATTATTTGCCTATCTAGAATCACTCACAAACAAACCCTTAGACTACCGATTGTATTTAAAGAAAAAAAATATTACAATCTTCAAATAAATAATCCAAATTAATGCATGAAGGAACATGGGCGGCTCTAGCATAGTGCAAGTGGCATCACCACACAAGGACCTTAATTTTTTAAGGCCCCTGAATCTTTTTTCCGTCTTGAATTTTTTTACGTATATGTTATATTATATTATATAGATGTATATTATATATATATATATACATACATACACAATATGTTTGCACAATTATATGTCTAGTGAAGTTGCTTTGTTAGGACACAGTTTGATTCTCACTTATATACTTCAATAGTTTTCTTTTTACTTGTTTTCTCAAAGTAACAAAGAATTCTTCATAGAATAACCATAATGAGTGTTGAAACCATGACCAATTAGACAACATTACCACATCATACCACTAAACTAGTCATGTTTTCGATAAACATTGTTGTGCTTATTATGTTTATAGCTGTAAGTTTGTACCACCAAAAAAAAAAAAAAAAAAAAAAAAAAAACAAAAAACACAACCTTAAAAAAAACAACTATACACACACTACAACTCTATTTATCAATCTCAAATCTAGAGTGTTTTTGTAACATTCTACATTGACCAACGAAGAGGGGTGATGTGCCTTATATGTACATGCCCACCTCCATCTAGCACGAGGCCTTTTGGGAGCTCACTGGCTTTAGAGTCATGGGAACTCCGAAGTTTAGCAAGTTGGGGCTAGAGCAATCCCAGGATGGGTGACCCACTGGGAAGTTGCTCATGAGTTCCCAGAAACAAAACCGTGAGGGCAGAGAGGGGGGCCCAAAGCGGACAATATCCTGCTACGGAGAAGCCGATCCGAGATGTGACAATTTGGTATCAGAGCCACTTTGTCGTGTGGTGCGAGTGTGCCGACGAGGACGTTGGGCCCCTAAGAGGGTGGATTGTAACATCCCACATCAACCAACGGAGAGGGGGTGATGTTCCTTATATGTACATGTCTATCTCCATCTAGCACGATGCCTTTTGGGAGCTCACTGGCTTCAGAGTCATGGAAACTCCAAACTTAAGCGAGTTGGGGCTAAAGAAATCTCAGGATGGGTGACCCATTAGGAAGTTGCTCGTGAGTTCCCAGAAACAAAACTGTAAGGGCAAAGAAGGGGGCCCAAAGCCGACAATATCGTGCTACGACGGAGCCGATCCGGGATGTGATAGTTTTCTCCCACTCAAAACAACAACAAAAAAAGTTTTATTTTGGATGATGTGAGGGTTCCAGTTTAAGTTTAGCATAGGGCCTTCAAAATCTCACGACTGACTGTGTGAATAAACTTCAAAACAAAATAAAACAAGTTTGATAATCAATGAACCACAACAAAGAGTAAATAGTCTTTTTAATCACACACTCTTAAGTAATGTCACTTATCTCAACCGTTTTCAATAGAGATTTCCGCATCCACTAGACTAAAAGGCTAACACGCTATATGATATATTTATAGGTTCCCATAAAAACCCTAATTGCACTAGATTAAATCACTCAAATTTATTGGAATAAGGAAACACAAATCTTGAGGCAAATTTTGTTAATCCACATTTGTAGATGTCCATCCCTAAGCAATGCCTATAAGAACCAAGATTGCCAATCTTTTCAATTTTAGAAGCCTATTGCTCCACCTTGAAAAGTGTTCCCTATAAGAAAGTACAAGTTCTTGAATTTCTCACCTACAAGTTTTTGAATTTCTCACCTTTCATTACTACTTGATATTCATTGATGACTCTCAAAGCTCCAAGTTGATAATAACCTTATAGCCTTGAGAATCAAGTGCACCAGTCGATATGAAATTCCTACTCCTTTCAAAGACTTGATGAACTTCCTCAAAAAACCCTCACACCCTTCATGTTTCTTGATTTTTAATTGTCTCAAACCTTATAATTTTGTAGGGTTGTCTATGTCTCGGTGACAGCGACATTAGTGATGTTGGATTGGGTCTCTCTTCGGGATAGTTATGATACCTGGTGGTTGATGTTTTGTCTCTGTTTTGATAATGGCGGCAGCAGAGACGTTGGTGGTAGTGTTGGGATATGGTTGTGTGCCCTATGAGGGGTTTCATCTTTGATTTTAGTGTATGTTTTGTTGTCATTTTCCATTGTTTTGTTGCTCATTTGCAGCTTGTCTATGCTTTGCGTCGCTCGAAGACCTATATTTTATCGTAGGAGTTTCTTTGTCAGGTTCTAAGTTGAGTTGTGGTGCTTTTGAGAGGATTCTCTTGTTATTGTTTTTGTACTCTTCATATGTGTGCTCTCATGGGCAATTAAAGGACTATGAAATTTTCTCATAGAAGGCTTCTTTTGAGATTTGGGATGCGATGCGATTCTCTTTATGGGTTTACTATATTGATGTTTAGTTGATTTTTTGTTTTGTTCTTGTAACAGCCTTTTGTGGTATGGGTTGGACTCTTTTGTTAGTCCTTGGCATTTGTGGTACTCTTTCCTACCCTAGGATTTGTCCCAAATTGTTTTCCTATAATGGTTTTAATGAGGCTACTATATTCATGCCAATCTTTGTATGTCGTTTTGGCTTATGAATGAAATCTTCTTCTAATAAAAAAGTAGAAAAGTTTCTTAAAATCACCTATAATTCACACAAAGAAAAAGTTGACATTATTTTCATTAAAGAAAATAGCATTTTAAAAAACTTAATTAGATAAACTTCAACAAGACATCTAAAATACTAATCCCAAGAGGGCAACAAACTAACATGCAAAAAACAAAACTAAAGCGAACAAAAGTCCAAACAAAGCGCACAAACCCAATATAACCAAAACCCTAAAACAACCTATGAGACTAAACGAACCTTACCACTACCACCTGAAGAAGTGCCGTTGCGACCACACCCACCACCACATATGGGGAAAATATGATTTTCAGCAATCTACATGCGTATAAGAGCGAACAAATAAACAAAAACAACAACCATGCCAAAGAACAATGAGGTGATTTGCAGCAACTCATGTCAAAGATGATGTAGAATCAAATTTGGAGAACATGAGAGGTGTTAGAGAGTGTGTTTTGGAAGAATGATTTGATTGAGAATATAAACCAAAAGGGGTGATGAGGAATTTTAATCTAAGCATGACTCAGAAAAAATCACCATAAGAGACTTTTTATTCAGAACATTGAGTGGACTTATTCACTAACTTAAAAGAAAAAGACGAGAAGAGATGAGGGGGAGGAGGAGTAGTGATGCTTCTTCCTCCTTCCCCCTCTATAGAGTTTTCCTTTATGACTCATAGAGTGAGA